CCGCGCGCGTACGATGATAATAATAAACGTTACCCATCCCTTCCTTTTTTGTCGCATCTTCTCTCTTTCTCTCTCTCCCTGCTCCTCGTCATCTCTCTCCTTTCCCTCGTCCTTCTGTCATGCTTTCGCTGTGCGTGCGCTGCCGGCGGTCCCTTTGATCCGTTGCTTCGTTTGTGCATTTAAACACGACTCGCCGGGAAGCGGAGTGGAGCAACAAGAGGCGACGAACGGAAAGAGACGGAACGAAGGGCGAACGCTACAGGAAGGAAAGAAGGGGACAGCAAGGGGTGCGTGGAGAGATCGGTTGAGGAAGGGAACAGGGTGAAGGAGCAGTAGAGAGAAAGAGATGGTGGTTCTCTATGATGAGAAGAGAAAAGCGCCTCGAGTGGCCCGACGAAATCTCGTCTGGACCTCCGAGAGGTAAAGTGAGAGTTTCGTCATTGCAAACGAGCCCTCCTCCTTGCGGCCCCAACCTTCAACCCTCCCCCGATTCCTGGGAGTTCCTCTTCGTCTCTCTCTTCCTCCCTCTCTTTTTCCTTTTCCTCTCTCGTTTCGCAGCTCCTTTGGCCATCTTCTCTCGAGTCTCGCTACTCTTTGTCGTTGCTTTGTGCCGACGACTGTCGGCACCCTCAAATCCGCTTCTTCGATGATAACTCCTCGAGATTAATGCTCTTTAATGGACTCAATGGCGGAGGAGTGCGTTTCGACGCAACCCTTTAAATTGCTCGCCGACGAGCACGCGTCGTCGAGATGGGCGGGGGAGGGAGGGGACAGAAGAGGGAGGCAGGGAGAGTGAGAAAGAATGAGAGAGGAAATAACAATCAAACTCTACCTCCTCTCGTTCCTTCCCGGACTCGCCGAGCGCCGGGGACCGACTGCGAACCGCTCGCAGAAATTTTCACCACTAATTTGGCGCAGCGATTCGAGCCAGACGGTCCGGCGCGCGCGGAAGGTCGATCAATGATCGGGCCATGGCAGCGGAGAGGGACAGCGTCGCGTGGACACGTGACGACTGACGTGAAGTTCATTCCCACGAGCTGGCGACATTGAAAGCGCATCTCGTGGGAATAACGCTACGGCGCTTTGCAAAACGCGCTACAAAACGTCTCTTTCTCTCTCTCTCTCTCTCTCTCTCCCTTCTCTATTTATCTATCTATCTATCTTCCTCTCTCTTTTTCTCGTATCCGTCTTCCTCCCGCACGTGGCGGCGAAGCGAATCGATTCCGTCCCGATCTCCTTTTGCGAACATTCGCGTTTGACGGCTCAATCGCCGACTCACGTCGTGACTGTGAGCGCATTGTCTCGCGCATCAAACGCAGGAAGTACCTGTGCACGCCCGACAGTAACAGGGAAAGCATAATTGTTCGCGGCTATGGTCGCGAGTGCGATGATATGCGTTTTCCAGCGCACCGTTACACGCGCCATGAGTTATCACGCAGACGGCGAGAGCTCATCTTCGAGGCGATCGCCCTCACGTGCGCCGCTCGTTGATGAAGCGTCGATACGCTTCCGCCGAGTTTGCTGCAGGCTGCGGCAATGCGCCCCAGGGCCCGGCACTCCCGCGGCGGGCGAGAGAACGAAAGAGAGAGAGAGAGAGAGAGAGAGAAACGAAAGGCAGTTGGAGAGAAAAAAGGAAAAAAAAGTGCCGACGACAGAAGCTCGCCGTGTAGAGATAGGGGCAAAAAGATCGAACAGCCCGAGCGCGGCCGCTGAGGTGTTAATAATGCCACCTCGGGGGAATCGAGTGCAGTCGTTTCCGTTTCACGGGTAACCAGGCACATCCGCGCCGACTGCAAAATTTCCTCCGTGAGTCCTCTCGGACTTGGTCGGCGCAGAGAGCGAGATGCTGGTCCGGAGAGAAAAGAAACGTGAGAACGTTATCATCCGGTAAGGATCACGTCGTTGGCCATTCATTAACGTTATAGCAAAGGCTTAGGAGAATATTACGTTGTAGGCAGCAAATTAGCGTCGAGATTATAAGATGTAGGAAAAAATCACTGTGCTATCCGGTGCGCGTTTTAACCAGTTACTGTTTAACCACACTGGCGTGATTTTGTATTTTAAGCGAGCGCGAATAACAGAGAACCACGCGGAATGCGCGAGGTCGGGTCTGATTTGCGATTAGAACTTGATAAAACGGAATCTCGCTAATAGAGATGTGGATGAAATCCTGGCAACCGCCCGCTGTAACACGGTCCAACCGACGCGCTGTAATAAATTGCTCTCTCTCCCCCCCCCC